GTAATAGAAAATATAAACCACCTGCCACAACTTTCATTGAATTATCAAATGTTTACACTTAATCTAAATATTGGCGCAGTACTATATGTTCATTTTTAATTTGCAACAAATTCTTTCCGCATATACAAGTCTCAACCATTATTGCACCTGATAAACTACTAAAGAAATAAAGTATCCGATCTCCAGTTGAGAATGCAGACTCGGTAGAAATTTGAATTCTGAAGAGGAAAATGATTTTTGATAGATTATGTTAGTCTCGAGATTATTAGATAAAAATTATGATTATTTGATAATAATAATAATATATATGTAATAGAAAATTATAAATTGACAAAAATACAGACAAATGACAAAACTATTGAATTTTACATATTTGGATGTATTTTCAAAAAAATTCATTATTTTATTTTTTATATATATATATTTTTTCGTCGGTCCGGTTTGATTTTAAACCACAATTAAAATTCTAAAACTCAAATCAAACCGTTTTTGATCGGTTTGATTTGGTTCAAAACCATTTCATTGGCGGGTCCACGTGGCACCAAACCGATGGTTTTTAAAATGCGGTTTCGGTTCAATTTTTCGGTTTGACGATTTTTGCTTACAGTCCTAGTGGCTAGTGCGTTCATCGTTCGGGCAAAAATATAGATCTATGTACATCAATGCTTCGATGCTTTGTGATATTATTGGACACCTGCTGGATATATATTGTGTTATGTAAAGTCTATGTTGCATATCAATTGATAAATTTGAAATCCTAATGTTCTGTCATACCATGTGCGTATCGTAATATGCACATGTGTTTGAATCTAATTTTGAGGAGAATAGAAATTTTGGAATAATGATTAATGTGAGAATGTGTGGTGGAAAAGTGATAAAAAGTTCTTGATTTGTGTGTAATATTATTTTATTTGAAGAATGTGTGGTTGAAATAAAAAATGAAAATGAGAAATTAATGGGTGTCAAATAGGGCTAAATGATATGCATGGATGTGTCAGACATTATGCTGTACTGGGATATGTATTTAACGATTGGACGTATCTTGTGTGGAAAGCTATAGTTGTATGGTTTACGCTTATCACATAAGATCTTATGTGATGGTTATATACATTTGCTCTATCTTGTACGGATATGATGTATTGTTGTATATGATTAGTCTATTATGTGTGGAAGCTCAATATACATTACACTATAGAGGAGTTGGGGCATAGAGTATGTGTTTAAGATTATGTTTTCCATTATTGTTTCATAGAATGTGATTGAGATGCCCTAAATCATGCGGTATTCTTTTGAGGCTATTAAAATATTACATTATAATTTTTTTTTTACGTGAACCTATATAAATATTATTATCTTTTGGGAGCCTAGGTTTTACAATTTGGATAGAAAAAGAAGTTGAAAATCTGTTTAACAAATTCTATAAATATAGAGTGAGAGAATTTGTTAAATTCGTATTTTGCATAATTTTANNNNTAAATTCGTATTTTGCATAATTTTATCTTGTGAACTTGACATCCGCGTGTGATATATTCAAGATGGAAGACATCGATTAAGTTGTGATATCTTGTTTAATTCTCTTAGAATTTTGGAATCTTAAAAAGAATGGAAGACGATAAGGAGTCTAAAATTCCCTGGATTCACATTATTGACTTGTCAAATATCTCCAAGATATTGTTCGTGTTCACTTTCTTAATTAGTTGTGGAGTCTATTTTAGAGTCAAGTTGTTGAGGGATAATATGATTATTGGATAATGATTTATAAAGTCGATTAGTTCCGTTCGCTTGCACGTTTGAACGAACCTTGATAGAATATGAAACTTATGAGACTTGTGTTATTAATTCTCTTCTATATCAAAAACTCTGATTGCTTAGTGTGAAAAATGACTCGTGCACGTTGGGACTCTACAAATCGCTAGAGAGAAGGAAAAATAATGAAGAACGAACAATTCAGAGAACGACCAACTTGTATTCTGTGTATTTGCTAATAGGTAAGATGTCATTTTATACAGGAAAATCTTTAAAAAAAGGAGAGGTCAGACACCGGCTATGATGACACCGGCCATGATGACACGTGGCGATATCAAACAGTAGAGGCTCCAACATCTTTGAACTCTGCTTGTTGCACAGAAGCAGAATTAATGACACCGGCCATGATGACACGTGGCGATATCAAACAGTAGAGGCTCCAACATCTTTGAACTATGCTTGTTGCACGGAAGCAGAATTGCCAAAAAATGGCTAGAACACTCATAGCAAAGGGGGTGGTTTATTTTTTTCAATATTTTACTCACATGGGGCTCACCTCATGTGAGTTTTTTAGCCAATTTCTGTGGAATATATTTCTGTACAAACAGAATTATGTAGGTAGAAAATTCACAAAATTACTTCTTGGGCTGAAATGAGCAAGATACTTTCCCAGTTGTGTTCTGGGCTTATGATTAACAAAGATCTTCAGGCCCTTAATGGGCTGTGGTTACACTGAGCATGTTTGGATAACACTTATTTTACTTATAATTAAGGAGAAAGAAAAAGTTAAATAAAATAAGAGAGACATGTTCCTGCTTGAATATACACGGGGTAATTTGAGACACGATAACTCATAGATTTTCGTTAATCTTTTTTAGTCCATTTTAACATCGTGATGCATTCTTTACGCTAAATATTTTCGTTGACCCTTGTCGCAAACATGTTTGGAAAATATTTATAAACAATTTAAATT